GGCGGGGGGTTGGACGCGTGTGGGGAAAGAGGAGCGTTCCCTCACCCTCGGGGAAACACGGGGAGAAGCCTAAGGAGTCAGGAACTTGCACTGAAACCAGTCCAGTTTCCTGGCGTCAATTTAAATTCTGTGCTTGTAGTGTGAGAAGCAAGTTGATCAAGTGTACCTTGTGATGAGAGACAGGGGAAAAACCCCAAACCCGGCTAACTTCGGTAAGCCCCAACTTTCCTGACATCTCGAAGATCGATTTTGAAGATACTGTGTGAGATGGATGGACGAGTCAACCCTGCAAGTGGGGATTTTGAAGACTTGGGTCACTTTGTCTGATGCTGTAATTACACAGAAGCAAATTAATCAACTGAAGGATTTTTCCAGGTTTTGGAATCTTGAGGTGGCCTGGCCTTTGGACTCTGGTTCAGCATCAGTGCGAGTTCTTTGCACAGACAATATGGGGGAGCAGGATTGTTTATATAATTATATATTAGATGGTGAAATAACAAGCACGTGTTGCGCTGCTAAAAATAACTTGATTCTAGATAGGGCAATAGTTTGTTGGAGTTATAGTGCTGAAGACTTGAAAAGTAACTTTGAAAGAGGACATTTTGCTTCCTGTCTTCATACTACAGGACTTTCACTGCTGTGCGTTTTTCAGCAAAACTCCTTTTGCAGTTCTAAGAAATAACTGTATTAACAGATCTCATTTTTTTTAATGTGGACCAATTGTCAGAACGCTTAAATAGCCTCTTGAATCTTCTTAGATACATAATGCGTTTACACATTATGGATCCAAAAGAAAGTTGAAAACGCATTAAATAATGTTCTGCATTGCTAGTGTGAAAAACCAATGCAGCGCTTCCATGGCAGGCAAGGCGATCTCTGACTTGCTGTGTGCCTGCCCACTTCCCTGTGCTGGTTCTGGCACTTGGTGGGGTGCTTCTGCTGTGAGCAGTTTCCTGTTGCCAGAGAATTTGCACAGCGAAGTGAACGCCTCTCTTTCAGCCTGTTCGCTGAAATAGATCCAGAAAGTAAGAGGGTGACAGCTTGGTCAGCTCAAGGTTGCTGTGGAATTTCAGTCTTGGATTTCAGTTCAAATGCCCTTTGGCTGGGGGTGCAGCCAAAAAAAGCGGTCTCTTCCTCACCTCTCGCTTCAGTTGTGCTCTTGTTATGTTCTTACACTAGTGTGGATGCTTATGTAACTGCGGGATGAGCTTGGATCATGAGGATCCTGAAGAAGTAGATGTGTCTGAAAATGACTACAAAATTTTTCTCCTTTGAAATGTGGGATTGATTTCTTTACCTAGTGATGTAAAGAGCTGTTGTGGTACAATCGGAAGGAAGGGAGAGAATTGCTCTTTGTTTACAGCAGACACGATTGTATTACACAATCTTTTTTACTGCGGAAATTGCAGTCTCCAACTTAGCTGCAGGGTAGAGAGGGTTCTTAGAGGGTACAGGGAAAGGTTTGAACTTCTGTTGAAAATTTGCAATAGGAAGCGTAGTCGCTGAGTAAATTGAGTGTAGGTAACAGTATCTGGTGTGATGGAGCCAGATTCTGTCTGAGGTATAGCTTCATGTCCTGAATTGATGGCTTAGTGCTTCTTGGAAGAAGACACATTCTGAGCTTCCTCCATCTCCGTTTCATCTTCTGCATCCACTGATCCTGAGGTGGATCTGGTGCTTGTCTGATAGCACAGTGAGCTGACGCTACAATAGCAGAATACTAATTGGGTGAAAAACTGCTCACTTTGTGTTAGTCTTTCTGCCAATTTTGTTGAACCAGCTTAATTTGAACTGACAAGTGTTACAACTTGTGCAAAAGGAAGTACAAGGAAAGAGATGGGGCAAACCCTCCCTGGCTTTTAGTAATGGTTTATTTTGAGGGCTAAACTCTGGGTTTGGCTTTGTTTAATTGCTGGGCAAACCATATGCCACGTGTATAATTTGATTCTTGTAATTTTCTCATCCCCTTGCTGAGTGTCCGGTCTGAGTACTTGTCTGTCACAGCTGTACTTTCAGCATGCATTACACGTGAAAATTGTTGCATTGAAAAATTGGTTGCCATCTATTACAAATTATTATGTTTCAAAGTACCGGATAACTTTGATGAAATAATAGTTTGTAGTGTCTGAAATAGGGATAATGCCGTGCAAGTTGATTTGTAAGGAAAAGATTATTAATATTTCAAAGTACATTAATGTAGAGGGATGAGTAATACTGAACTGGTCAGAGTAGTTGATGTTCTTACTAGTCAGGCAAAGCGTGGCGCATAGCTACAACCGTTCTTTTGGGAGAGTAGATGGTGAGAGGGGCTAGAGTGTGCAATGCCCATGGTATATATGTTGTATTTTAGTTCTTGTAAATACCTTTAGAAAATACTTTAAACCTTGTGTGTCTTTGCTACCACCAGTAACAGCAAATGGAATTGTAAGTCACCTGTTCTTCTGAACAAAATATTGAGTTGCTGCTTGTTTAGGGAGCATCGTATCTTCCTCTGCACTGAATGAATCCCTAAATAAAGGTTGTGACAAAGTGTGTTAGGACTGAAAGGGTGCATCTGAAGCCTGGATGTCCAAAGCATGTCAGGACTGTAGTTGACTCTATCTTTTTAACATTCTTTGCTCTTTGTCCGTATGTGCAGTGCATGCTTAGGAGCCTACTTAGATGCATATAACTCAGAAAAAAAGTTTGTAGTTGTTCACATTCCTGTTGCAGTTAAATTGGTGAAATCTTTTTCTTCTGAGAAAATGAATAATGTGAGTGTTCCATCAGGGTCTGATTTCCCTTAGAGTGAACTGTAGTATAAGTCTGTTATTTGTGCTCTAAGGCGGTTTATAAGCTTACACATGTCTCAGGTATTTAAAGGTTTTGATCAGGAAGATGATGGAATTTGTTCGGTTGGGTATTCAATTTACAGTAAATGGTATCTTTCAAGAACTTAATCTGTTGTTTATATCTAAAAGGGATTTTGTAAAGTTCTGAAATGAATTCTTTTGACATTCTTTCTGTGTCTGATAATAGCAACAGTGTTCGTGAAGCTCCATATAGTCAGACAGGGCTACTTAAAGTAGCCTAAGTTAGATCTAGATTTAAATTTTTAAAGCTTAGAATAGATGTATTTTTTTTTCCAGTAAATTTTATATTTGTTTCAAGTACTTCCTTTAAGGATTTGGGAAGGTACTACTGAAATTAGTTGTCCCATGCTGTATCTATAGGAAGATGTAGGCATCATAGTATCTTAAAATGCACTATAATAATCTAACTGAAGTGTATATTTCTGTTTAAATTTTTCAGTCTGCAAATGTGGAGGCCCAGTGTGCAGGTATCTCAGAGGATAATAGCCGTTCGTCGTCAACCAGTCAAGGATATGTTTTACCAGAAGGAAAAATCATGCCAAACACGGTGTTTGTTGGTGGAATCGATATAAGGGTATGTACACACTTTTCGTAAGTTACATGTAGAGCACTTCAGTGGGAAGGAAATGGTAGTTTAACTCCTGGGTTATTTTTTTTAATGTGTATCTTTACCAATCTTAAGATATTGCTGTGTCATGAGAGAGTTTTGGAACAGGTGAACTTCAGCTTTTATCTTGTTAAAAGATGAATGTTAAAAACAAAAATCTTGGCTGCTTTAAATCAGTTTAAACAGTTGAATGTGTTTGAAGAAGTTAAAGACTTTATTTCTTTTAGATGAATGAAGCAGAAATTCGGAGTTTCTTTGAACGGTATGGTACTGTGAAAGAGGTGAAAATAATCACTGACAGAACTGGTGTTTCCAAAGGGTGAGTGGAACATGAAGCGGTCGTTTTAAATTGCTGCTTATGTTGGACTTACTTGTGTTATAGATAAGAGCAGCTGCTTAATAACACACGTAACACTAGCTGCAGTTTTCTGTTGTGGTGAATGAATTTTATGAAACCTGTAAATCTAGATTGCCCCAAAGTCTGTGTAATCTTATAAAGAATAGCCTGATTTTTCTGACTTCAGTCTTAATCTGTTCAGGGAAAAGAATCGTTGTTACTTAACTGGTGGAAACGAAACTTGTGTGATGCTTATGCAGACAGTTTTGTATTTATTTTTTTATAGGACTCTTCTGATGACTGGAGTAGTTAGCAGCAGTTTGGAGAGAGAGTTCAGGAAGGTTAAGAGAAGGGGCAGATGGCTTATTCGGGACAGTGAGACTGCTCTTCTGACACCTGGGGATAGGTTAGAGAGAAAACAACCAGACACATTTGGGTTGGGAGTGAAACTAAGTGAATGAAGTTGAAGCAAGGGAAATTCCCATTGGATATGTAGACAAATTCTGGATTGTGGTGGAATATTTAAATCCGGATGTGTGGGACTGTCACCTGTTGAAGTCACTGTTGACTGTCACCTGTTGAAGTTATACCTGCTTTGAGAAGGTGTTTACCCTCTGGAAGTTCCTTCCAGTCTAGCTTTTACTAAGACTTTATGAGCAGATCCTAAAAAGTCAAGTTTTTTTCCTAGGCATATGTAGTAAAGCGTGAGCTGGAAATCTGTTTTATTTCCTTGTACCCCTTGTACACTTCATAGTAAAATCTGATGTGCAGTTAACCAGTGTGTGTTCTGAGTATTGATAGTGAATTGGTGTACTCCATTAACTGACATAACTGTTCTGTAATGCTCTGAAATTATCTCCATTTTATGGACTAGATAAACTAAGGGGGGCAGTGAAATAAAATTGAAAAATCTCTTCAAGGATCACTTCACTCCTGGTGTCACTGTTCCTGTAATGCCTGCTTTCATCCAGACCTATTTAGTAAAGATAAAATTTGATCATAATGTAGTCCTTAATACTTAGAAATTTGTTGTTGGTGTGATTTTTTTTGTTTGTTTGTTTGGTTTTTTTACTTTCTGAGTTAGTAATATCAGCAATACTGCTATTTTTGGATACTTGCAATGGCGGAATAGACCTTATATCTATTTCTTACTGTTCTGGAATCTGGCATTCAGTTTCTTTCATTTAGTCCAATAGTATATGCTGTTAGTTAGCAGTAAATAGGTTTTCATGCTGAATTATAAACTAATGTTGTACTCGATCCTTTTGGCATGCAATATAACATCCCCAGCACGTATGCTGTTAACTGGTCTTGTGCAAAATAATTTATCTAAGAAACAAATGAAAAAAAACAATTATTGAATAATCAGTTTTTTTTTCTTTTCAGGTATGGATTTGTATCTTTCCTGGACAACGTGGATGTTCAAAAAATAGTAGAAGTAAGTTCTTAGTCAAAATTAACTGAAAATTGTTGATACATTAGGACTGGAAGCATATTGAGGGGAAACCAAGTCAGGTACCATATAGAGTAAATTAGGACTAGGAAACTTAATGGCTGCCCAAAAAATTACTTGGTAAAATCTCTACTGGTGGTAGAATCTTTGTGTATTTACTGAAGAAAGAAGAAAAGTGGTTTTAGCCTTGCTTGAGTGTCTCGTGTCATTCTATTTCTGGTCGTTCTTGTTTATGTGCTTGAAAGCCTCACGTGTGTTTTTGGCTGCTTGCTTCCTGTGTTGCTTGGTTGTCACGGAACACTTGTGCTTATGGCAGACAGATCTGCCAGCATTGTTGTTAGGAATAACAGTAACAGGGACAACAGCATGAGATTTTTTACTCAGTTGATGTATGTATTTCTCTCTGGCAGTATTTGTGCATTTGAATGTTACCTGGACTGACAGTATCTTTTAGCCTCCTTGACTCTAAAATGTAACTGTTCACATGCCGTATGATTTTTCTGTAGTTCACATGGGAGATGAAGGGGTAGAACTGTTACAGCCCGTCTGCTTTGAGTTCAGTGCTGGAGGAACTCTACATCTTGATGCTTACAACCAGATCTGTCACTTGGTTGTGATAGACTTACGCAGGTCACAAGCTGCCGACGAAGCTTTTGGTTTTCCCACTTTCTCCCAAAAATGAGTGCAATTCCTGTGAAAACAACGTGTTTGAAATACTTCTGTCTCTGAAGTGTGCCTCAAAACTCCCATGTCTTTGGAGGATGAATAGTCTCCCATTTGCTTCTGAAGCTGTTGGATGGGGAAGTAGATCTGAAAGACAAATCTGGTTAAATGTGCCAGGCACAAATTTAGTGTTGTGTGATATGTTCAGGTGTGTTTTTTGGCTGTCCAGTTCCTTAAGGGGGAGGAGAACATACATGGGCAAAGTGGAGAGCAGTGAAACTCCAGCAGGAGATTCTTGATTCTTACCAGAGAATTCAGAAGCTTGCTACTGTTTAACACTCATGGTATATTAACAAAAATACAACTGCGTTGAGCAAGAGATTTTTTTTTTTACAGTGGGTTACATTTGCTGCACTAAATCAGTATGGACTGCTTGCTCTGAGGCAACGATCTCTCTGGAGATCTCTTGAGTAGCACTGTCGTTTGAGCCGTGCACGTTGCTGATTTTCTGTGTGCATTTCTTCAAAACTTAAAGCCCTCAGTGTATCTCTATTAATGTAGTATTCACTGATGTGACTTTGTATACCAGAAGTCTTGGAAGACCCAGAGATACATGGTTGATTTTCTTTTCAGTGTAAGTTTCAGTTGTGCAAGGCAGTACAAATTATTGCCTTGTTGGAAAGAGTCATGTCCAGATAGAAACTGTCTTTATGAAGCTGTTGGCTTCTGGAAGGGATGTAAAAAGGGAAAGAAAGAGCTTGAGTCATAAGCAGCGATTGCCTTGCTGAACTGTCTCGAACATTATCTGTGCTGAGTGGTCGCCGTGTTCTACGTAAATGAATGAGATGGAGCCTCTCCGAGGTTAGAATCCCTTGATGCCTGTGTTTGTACCTGCCTAGCTCTGTAGCTTTGTGTGACTTACAGGAGTTTTTCTTCTGATTTTGGTCTGATTGCCTATGTAAGTGCACCCTGCCGTGCAGAATAGGAAGATGCCTTGTTTTGAGAGGGAGGCCTGTCTTTCAAGAGCTCCTGGTGCTCAGGTGGAAAAGCTGGTTGCATTGTTCTGGGCACAGCAGGATAGCAGGATCTATTATAAAAAACACCTGTGAAGCTAGCAGGACATTTAACTTTTTAATAACCCCTGGCTGTCTTGATTCTAATTCTGTTAGTATAAGATGATCAGATAAGCTGGTTTTATATAACTTTCTGGGTTTTTTACTTAATTTTACTATCAACAATGAAGTTGCTGTTATCTGTTTGAAGCACATTCTTTAGCAGAAGTAGGAGGAAAAGTTGCAAACTGTCTATTTTCTTAAGTAGACAAGTCTTTAGAGAGAATCTTGATAGTCTGTGTATCTGCATCTGATACTAATTTTTAGTGCTTGGTACTAAATTTCTGTTAATTTGGGGTAAACTAAAAATATTTCACTTCTGATATGTAAAGCATTTGTACACCTAAATGTAGCCTTCTTAACTGTAACAGAGCACCTATTTTTAGATAGTGTCCTGTGTGCTGTGCACATCTTCATTAGGCAGGCAATGTGTTTCTTCTTGCCATCTTGGCAGAGAATGAGATCAGACCCAAAGGTGAATTCTCCTTTGGGAGTTCTGTGTGGGGAAGTTCCTGAATAAACATTAATCTGCTTAAATCCATGTGCTGAAGCAGCATTCTGTATCCTAGGCATAAACTGTATTCTGTAGAGAACAAAATCTTGCAGGCCTACTTAGACAGTCAGTCCAAATGGACCTTGAAGTGTAAGGATGCTGTGGTGCCATTTCAGCATCAAAATTAATCGGTGAATGTTCTTTTAGTTTTCAAATTAGCCGTTTCACTGAAGAATGCAGAATTCAACTCCTGCAGGGAGAAAGGGTGCTTGAAATTCTGCCTATGCTTTTGTTACAGCACCAGATACTGTGCTGGCAAATTGAAAGTCTGAAATCCTGCCTTGAGTGTGAACTAGCATTTGGGCAGAACTTGCAGAATGAGAAGTTGCCCGTGGCTCAGGCATTTGCTGACTACTGAGGAGTGCTTCCAGCTCTGTTTCACAAGTCCTTCAGGATGTTTGCATTCACTAGTTTGAGTATTTGAGGAACACATGAGCTGTATTAAAGTTCTACTCTTTCTTGATGGTTGTGTGCTACATAGATACTTTGGTCAAAAAGGTTGTGAAATACCAGCATGTTTGGATATTCTGAAGGAATGTGTGTGAGAATTTCTCTGGAGTGAATGCGGTACCTTGCAGATAAACCAGCAGTGCTTTGGCAGCCTCCCACTTCCTTTAATATAAGATAGAGAGCTTCTGACAGGTGATGTGAAGCTTGTTAGGAAGTTTGTGAGAAGGAAGGTAGCTGGCAATGTAATAAATAGGACTTCAAAGGAACTAGACTATGGTCACTGCATTAATACCCTTGCTGAGGGAAGAGTAGTTTGTATTAAACCAGGAGTCTGACAGTCACTATACATAGTTGCAAACTGCTAGTAGTGCATGTTGCTGTTAGGGCAAGTGATGCACAATAGGCTTGGAGAGTCGGTGAGTAGGCAGTTAGGTCTGCCAAGAGCAGTGCAGGAAAATCGAAGGTTAAAAGGCATAAGTGTTGAGGTGAGAGAGTGGAGGCTCTTGAGCCTCTCTGCAAGTCAGTGATACTGTGGTGTAGAAGCAGAGTATGGTCTCTTGAAAAACCAGACATCCCACTGATTCGCTAGCTCACAGAATAACCTTGCCTTTCAGTCACAAATCAACTTCCATGGCAAAAAGCTGAAACTGGGGCCAGCAATTAGAAAGCAACAAAACCTGTGTAAGTATCTATAAACAAATTTGTTCATATCACAAGTATATATTACAAATACATTTTTTTCCTAAATATACATTTAAAAGTATTTGCAAGGATGTTATTGTGGTATCTGTGTATTACAGTTAAACTTAAGTTTTGAATTTTATGACCTCACAACTTGTGTGATGCATGGTTTTGATAATAAAACTCAGATTGATAGCATAGTACCATACAGTTAATATTGAGTTAAATTTAAAAGTCTAAACATTTAAGGTTTTTTTGAGCTTGCATGAATACATGAAATACATGTGAATACAATGAAATACATGTGAATATGGTCTTAATACTTGGTATTTCTTTAAAACAAGGTTCTTATGTGCATCCCAGACCTATAGTCTTCAATCCTCCTCCACCACAGTTCCATAGTGTATGGAGTAATCAAAATACAGAGCCATACATGCAGCCTCCAGCTGTAATGAGCCCAGTGACACAGTATGTTCAGGTATGTTCGGGTAAGGCTATTTATGCATTTAGTTTTGAATCAAATATTTTTGAAGGTGCAAGCACATACAACCTCAGGAGTATGTATTGAGATTCCCATCTTATCTTACCTGCTTGATTTTTGTATTACCTTCCCTGATGAGAAGCACCAAATTTCAAACCACTGTAGAAGAAAGACAGCAACCTTGAAAAATGTGTTCAGTGATGCGATCTCATTGTAAACCAAGACAGGGAGATTTTTTTTTTTCATTTTGGAAATGAGAAAACTCTTAAAGATGGAGCTGATTTAATTGTATAACAGTTTTTGTGTGATCTTTTAACTTGTCAGAGACCTGCTTCACAAATCAAATGCATCTGGATTTAATTTAATGTACTGCTGCCCTGCCTCAGAATAAACCACAAACTTTGAAAATACTCTTTTTAATCTGGAACCAGAAAGTTGACTGTGATACTTCCCCCTGCCCCCAGCCAAATAAATTTTTGTTTTCTGAATTGCTCTGGTATCTTTGTAAGAACGCTGTGTTACAGCATCTCCTCTTAACAGCTGTGACCAGTACAGTGTCCCTACAGGACATCTCTTTACTGGTATTTCAGATAAATGTTCTTACTGAGGCATAGGTAGAGTACTTCTGGCCTTGTTAGGGGTACTGTGCCATGAATGGAAGGCTTTCCAGTTTATTGACTCTTCCCTGTATTAACCTTGTATGTCAGGGCAGTATTAATTACAAACTGATTCTCTTTGTATATTTTCACAAGCAAGTGAAGATGAGCAAACTGCAGTGACTTGCAGAAGCACTTTTTCAAGGCAGAGAGCTTGGCAATAGTACTTTGCTGATTTTCTAAGTTTATTGTGGGATTGAGATAGGAGGATCTAATTGTTTTTAAATGCTGGAATGTGCCTCTAAGTATTCTCTGAAGAAGCTGAGAAGCTCTCAAGTTAGTGTTGTGTCAGAATACTTGTACAGAAGAAGTGCTGGGAAATCGTGTGACTTGTAAGACTTAGCTTGCCTTTGACTCCAAGAAACTGATCTTCAGGCTGTAGTCTGTTATTTCATGGTATTTGGTCTGTTTCAGGTCTGCTTTAGAAAGTTTATGGGATGAATTGTGCTCCTCAAATGACTTAAAAGATCAGCTACAAGCAGGTGTGGGATTTTTAGATATGTATTACACTTTGGAATCCCACTTTCTAAAGACCTTTTAGTGTTTGCAAGTGCTGAAGTACCATAGGAAGCCTCTAAGAGTTGCTTTTAAAAAGTTAGCCTGGAGCAGGAGTTGAAGTAACGATGTGACATCTTGAAATGTGCTCCTAGCTTTATAGATACCTTTGCAAGTATCGTATTTTTACCTTGCTTCAAACTGGCATTTGAAAAAAGCTTTATTTGCAGACGTACCCATACAGTTCACCAGCTGTATTGATACAACAGCAAGTTCCTGTAGCCTATCAGCCAGCCTTCAACTACCAGGTATGTAATTCTAGGGGCAGTTTGATACCTGACAAAACTTGAATGGAATGAACAGTGTTAACTGGAGTCTGATCTTTCTCTGTTTCTGTGAATTCTATTTCCCTTCAGCTCCTGCTTCTGAGAAATGAAAAGTAAAACCAAAATTAGTGATATTTTTATTCTAATGGAGTGAAAATGGTTGGGTAACTTGGCACGCTTCTAAGTTTGATCTTTTAATTTTTTTTTTTTAATATGCTATGATAAAACAATTTCCAAATCAGCAAAAAGTATGTGGATCAGTAGTATTCCCAGTGGGAAGGAGCTTTGCATTTGTACATGCTATAGTGCAAGTAGTTGATGTTAGTTGCTTTTAACAGTCATCAAGTCTTACCAGACTGTGTGAACGTGGGATGTTCCGAGTTCTAAAACTGTCTGGGAAGGCACTTAGCTGCTAGTGATTTTTGAACTTGGAAGTGAAATATGTGGGTAAGTCTAGTTTTGTTTCAGTAACAGGAAATAGTTTAGAAACTGAAAGTAACTAGAAGCTTAACATGTTTTCACTGTGGCTGCTGTGATTCCTCTAATTTTCTTAATCATTAGAAGTCTTACTTTTTTAAAATTTGGAATGAGAACAGGTAGTTAAATTTGTGGCAAGGATGACCCTGTACTAAACACTACATAAGGTACACATGGCAAAGCTACCTTGCTTAATGAAAAATCCTGATGTAACATATCATAAATGGGTAGCTCTTAAAAAGCTGATACTTGCCTGTGTTGGAAGCAAATAAATCAAAGCTGATTCTTGTCCAATTCTTGTTTAAGGTTCAACCACAATGGCATGCTGGGGAGCAAAGAAATTATGTTATGCCTCCGGTAAGTCTACAAAATTAAACTTCTGGCACTTTGTCTTTTTAATTAGCACACTGTTTTGATGCCTTGATACTTTAGAGAAAAATAATTGTTGACTGGATCTGTATGTAATCTGGTCTCTACAAATCTGTAGCTGCTGACAGAGTAGGTGG